TACTATGTTTATGATCCATCAGCTGTTTTGTACCAGCTGTATAAATTTTGTAATTGTATGGATTTTGTTGTTGTGTAGAAATCTCTGAGCAAAATCATACTGAAAATTTTACTTGTACTCTTAAAGCTGAACAATGTATTAGTTGGAAAGTAAAGTGTGATATATATCTAGGCTGAAGAGAAAGATCACACAAATAAAATATAATTATTAATTTTGCAACTTCAGAAATGGCAAAGGAATATAGGGCAGGAAATTTCATATGCTGAAAAGGTGATTTTGGATACTTGCCAAACTAGAAGAGATTGCACTCACTTTGAAAAATGCAGGAAAGAGGGAAGAAGGTGAACACTAATGAAATAAAGATTAGTTTAAAATCTAGATAGAGAGTTCCTCTCTAAATTCAATTGCGGGTGTAGCACTGAGAGTCATTGATTCAGATCAACAAGTGTAACTGTTCCATAGCTATGGAATAACTAAGGAATAAACATAACTAATGCCTGTGTTTGGAATGTTTTCTGGTTTATAACATCTTTCAGTGTTGCTAAAGGGCTGTTGATTATTTAAAAGTGACTTGTAATGTTGAAAGGGGATTAAAGAAAGATATTTTTAATCTTATGTTCAGGAGCGCCTAGATCTGTGAAAATAGCTATGAGAAGAGAGGCCAGATTATTAGTCAGAAAATAGACATTCTTGCATGTGAAATGTGAATGTATGTATGTGTAGAAAGGAAAGAAGCATACAATATATAGTCATTTGTGCATTCAAATTGAATTTTGCATGCACATACAACATTTGGCTCATGCAAGAATGCTTATATTTATACAGGTATTCATCTATTTTCTGACCAACCGTTAAGATGACTAAGGGGGGAAATTTTATGATTACTGTATCATAGACACTTTCCAAAAAACCCAAAACAGAGGGTCTATTCAAATGAGCTCTGGGCAATATTAAATGCTGACACTAAACAAGTAAAGTCATTAGGGAAAATGGTCAAACACTGAGGTCCCATCAGACAATGGAATAATCTGCCAAGGGAGGTCATGGAGGTGCTAGCATGGAAACAAACCCTGCTTCAGTTGTGCCTCACTACTCTGCTGATCCCCAAAATACGAGTTCCTTGCTTAGCACAGCTGTCTGCCTTTTCTGTTACGTTTTATCCTTTCTCTGCCATAACTGATTTTCTGAGGAGCTATATTACATGGTACTGTAGGGCCTGTGCTTCTCCATAGTTCAGGTATGTCTCTTCGGCTCTGCCAGCCTTAAGTCTGAATTTTTCAACTGGACTTGGATGAAACACTGCGTGGTTATTTTTTAGCCAGATTTTTAAGGATGGCTGCTTTTTTTTTTAAATCACATTCATGCTGTGAATGTATGCGATCATATTCCTTATTATACCAGAAATATACCATTAATATCTTTCTACTTTGTACACGATTTGATTATTCTAATGATGTTTTGGAAGCTGAAATGTCTTTCCTAACTGTTTTCAAACTTGGAATGAAAATTACCAAAGTCCAAAAGGTCCTTGAAAAACTGACTATGTTTTCTGAAAGCTTACAAGAGTGCCCTGGGCAGAGCAGTCCTACAAATGGCTGAGATTTACATTGCTAGGCAGTGACAGGAGTGCCACACCAGGTTGTGCTAGCTAGAGACAATGGAAGTAGATTTGCTGGCTCTGAAACCTGCTGCAAAGGATCTTTGTCTACTCCTCCGGCTTAATGACTTGGAATAGAGAATGAGCAGGGGTGAAAATGCACTGGAGCCCAGTCCTGTGATGCATGTTATCTGCCAGTCCTTACTTTCATAAATCCAGAATTATGAATTATGGGGCTTTTTAGTGGCAAAGTTAGTTTTTTATATATTTTTATATATGTATTTTTATATGGTTTACTATACTGAGGGTTTCTCTAATGTAGAGCTATTATAAATGTTAAGCTACTATAGAAAAAGTAATAGCTCTGGGGCGTGTGTGTTAGAAATCAAGCAAACCTTTGAACAGCTATGAAGAGAGTATTTGTTCCATCTAAGCTCCAGTGACCTTGATAGTGTCTCTTGAAGATAATTTCCTCTCTTCTTAAAAACTAATCCTTAGAGTTTCACAGTCTGTCTTGAAATGTTCTGAATAATATTATTCTTCCCCGCCGCTTTTAATGCGCACATGAATATGTAATTGCATAGGCAAGAAATAAGTACAGTTTTAGTGCAGACAGATAACTTTTTCCAGAGCAACTGTTGTGAGACAGAAATCCCTTTGAGGCACTTTATTCCTATGTTGGGATATTTTTTCTCCTGTATTCTTCCAGGAATTTTATTCCATTTGGAGGATGAAATGTCCCTAATCAGTAGCCATAATACCACACTATGGTTTGCAACATAATTTATTGCCCAAGAGCCACAAAGGCCCTGACAGAGTATTCAATGATTCTCTGCTCTCCATTTTCCTTTGTTTC